TTAACTATTTCAATTTCCTTATCGTCTATATTGAATTCTTGCAGTTCCTTCATGACTATAGTCCTAAAAGGTGAACATCTCTGCCTTTAGGTTAACTGCATCTGATGAGACTTCAAAGGTTACAGTGGGACAGCAGTGGGACAGTGGTAGAATCCATGTTCAAATTCCTCAAGAATCTCTCTCTCTCTCTCAGTCTCTATCTATTTATCTCCCATGGATATTTCTGTGAGGCTTAGTGGCTGGGCTACAGGAGTCAGGGAGCCTGCCAGTCTGGAGCTGATGTGGCATTAAAGTCAGCTAAATTCTCCTTTGAATCCCGAACTCTAACTTGGGGTCTGTAGCCAACTCATTCTCCTCAACTGAGCTCGATGCCCAGAAGCATTTTCTATAAGCATTAAGCCTCCAGGAACAATGTTGTTAAAGAAATTTCAACTCATGGTGCCAGTGAGACATTTTCATGTCCCTCTGCATGTCCAGCTACATCTTTGCGATGTGCTGTATTCTTAAACTTCTCAGCAACATCCAGACTCATTTGGATCAAACAACCCTGGATGTTTTTTTTAAAATGTCATTCTTAATAAGGCTTTCCTTTATTCCATGAAGATTTATTATGTACAATAATCACAACCACCACTGCAATACACACATGTATGTACACATGTACATATACACATTTGGTTTTCTGCTAAAAAAGGTAACATTTGGTTTTCTGCCGAAAAAAGAAAACAATGCATTTTAATCTGAACAACTTTTTAACAGAAAACTATGGCAGTCAAGCTGTTGGTTATTCCCAACTACAGTAGACCTATTCGAGCAATTGCTGAATGCACAATAACATCCAAAATCCACAAAACAGTGATATCTTTATTGGGTCAACCAAATTGCACAAAATATATGATGTAAGCTTTCAAGGCTGTTTTTAAGAACAGCATCTTGACAAAATGTATGCTTGTGACTACATCATCATTTTATTCTTTCTCCTGTATGATTTTTAACACCTGTGTCTGATGAAGAAGACTGTGGAGCTTCGAAAGCTTGTGTATTTTGTGCTTTTTGGTTAGCCCAATAAGGTATCACTTTTCCCCTGCAATTGCTGAATGGTGAATCAACACATATACAAATCCCATTGACTGAATGTGTCTATTCTAGTCAAAAGTTGAGGAAGTAGACTGAAGAACCTATCACAGGGTTTTCTTGGAAAATTTGTTCAGAGGGGGGTTTGCCTTTGCATTCCCCTGAGGCTAAGAGAGTGTGACTTCTCCAAGTCCACTCAGTGGGTTTCCATGGCTGAATGGGGATTCAAACCTTGGCCTACAGATTCTAGATTGATCTATTTATAACATAGACATATCAATACCATATCTGTATCTATATCTATATGCGGAAGGCAATGGCAAACCTCGTTTGAGCAAATCTTGCCAGGAAAACCCCACAACAGGTTTAGTTTACAGTCACTGTAAGTCAGAAATGACTTGAAGGCACACAACAACAAATGTATATATTTTAGAAAAATATCTAAATCAATTCCTTTTTTTACAAAATAAACTCACATTTAATTTGTACATTTAAACAAACAAAAACATACAAATGTAGCAACGTGTGCAAGGTGTACTTTCTTGCAAAGCCATGCTGCACATTATGTAGCATGTGATGGAACCCAATGAATACAGATGCACTCATATGAGTTTCTGCAGAATTAATTTAAT